AAAAAAAAAAAAAAAAAAAAAAAAAAAAAAGTACAGCAAAACTCCGTCTGCCTGTGCTTGACAAGATCAGTCCACCCATATCATTCACTAGCAGTGGCTGGAAACATCTGCTGTGGATATCGTACTCCCTTCCATTTGGGACTCAGAGCCTTGGCTCACACACTGAAGAGCCAGTGGCAGACTGACCATAGTTCAGAGGTCAGGTCAGAAGATGGTAAATTAAACCATGGAGGATGCCAGCCTGTAGTTCATTCCGAGGGATTGAAATTGTAGCTGGATGTGGTTCATGCATGCCTGTAATCCCAGCTCTTAGGAGGCTGAGGCAGGAGGATTGCTAAGAGTTCGAGACCAGCCTGGGCTACATAGCAAGACCCTGCTCCAAAAATATAAAATAAAAAAACTAGTGTAGCCTGGTCCCTCCCCTCCAAATAACCCATGTCAGACCCCAGTGCAGACCCTCTCACCTCAATATAAAGTTCCACAGTCACATGCCTGAGACTGCTGATCTTTGTACTCCTGTGACTTCAGTTACTCAGGGAATTTGGTCAGGGGGTGGCAGGGGGTTGGAATAGACAAAGGTGAGAGCAACAGTCATACTGTCTCAAGAGGTTGGTTTGAGTTAAGGGGATTCACTCACTGCTGGAGCCTCTGCAGAGGCAGAGGGAGCAGGTCCTGCAGCTGAAGGCCTCCAAACTGAGGGCGGCCTTCCTGAAGCTTTACAAACTTTCGGAAACGTTTGTTTTTCTTCAGCTGCTCCTAGAGTGAGGGAGAAAGTTTTGGCAGCAAGGAAAGAAGCCACTCCTATTGAGTTAATTGGTGTATGCACCTCCAGCCTTCAGTAGGCTGTGTGCTCCTGAGAGAAACCTGGTCTCCCTAGTGGGAATTCAGCCCAAAGCTGAGTTTCCAGAGGGCTCTGCAAATGCAGGAACTGTATGAATGAAGATTAAGAAAATGTAAAAGGCAAGCAAAGGGAATGGGTTTGAGGTCATCCACAGGTTACCTGTAGGGTGGTCTGGGACCTCTCTGCGTTGGCAGCAAATTGGGTGTAGAGTTCCAGGTAGAGGCAGAAACCTTCCAGGCCCTGTCCCCAGTGTCCTCTTTCCAGAAAGGGAAGCAGCTCTCTGTGTGGGCAAAAACAATAAATGGGCAATCCAAGAACTATTCAAGCACACCCTCATTTAATTCTTACAACCCTGACCAGGAAATAATGCTATTGCCCCTTTTTGCAGATGGCGAAACAGGCAGGCACTGGGCCAAGGTTACAGGTGAGAAAATAGGCAGTTTCCGACTAGGAACCTGTGATTCTGCGCTTATGCCAGAGGCAAAGCCTTCCCTCCCTCTCCTTGTGTCCTTTCCACTCACTGGCTGGCGCCGTAAATGAGCTCCCAGCACCCAAACAGAGCCTGGCGCTCTGGAGGCCGCAGGGTCCCCTTGGCTTTCAGGATCCCCAAGAAGTACTGCAGAAGGAGAGAACACGGATCTGAATCTGGAGAAAACGGGAAAGGCCAAAGCCATAGTGCGGACAGAAAGTGTAGCGTTAGCCCGAGCTCCCTACGAGCAGGCAGACCTCTAAGACCCTCCCACACCCTCGGGCTGCCCCATCCCGGGGCGATTCGCACCGTGGTCACTAGCCCCAGTTGTTCCTCGTAGCGCCGCTCGGTCTCCAGCAGCTCCCGGGCAGTGCAGGCGCGTTTCCGCTCCCAACGAGCTCGCTGCTCCAGCAGCGGGCACCGCGCGCCAGAGCCGGGGATCTCCATTGCCTGACCAAGTCCTGGACGCTTCCGGCTGCAGCCCGCCGGAGATTCAAATCCCAACCGCTTCAGGGGTGGAGCGTCGGGGTTACAGCCCAGAGCAGAGCCCAGGACGGAGCATGCGCAACGACCGCGGGACCCTCCTGGTCTCTTTGGCCTTGGGCCGCCCCACTGCAAGGGCGGCGCTGTGGGCGCGGCCCCGGTAGGCCACAGTGGGGCTGACATCTGGCTCACTTCTGAGGAGCACTAAATTGGGAAGCAGCCAGGATTTGAGAGTACAGCCATTGGCAGAGCCTTAATGCCCTATCTGTAGAAGTGGGAATGGGGCAATAATTAAGGTACATATTCCATCCTGGCCCATGCCAGACACTGACGGTTCAGTTATTCCCAATCCTTTCACTATTTAGGAATATTCTGCGCCCTAGACAAAAGTTTAGCTTTTAAACTACTGTTGTTTTTCATTTCATACTAATGCAAAACCTGACAGCCAGCTAGCTCTGGTAGGCTTCGGTAACTAACGTAGTAGTTTGGGTCTGCTGTAATTCTGGTCCAAAGCAAAAGCTTTGAGTTGATTAGACTGTGGAGCCTGGTCAAAAATAAAATATACCACATTTTTTTCTAATTTAGGCCTTTTGAAAAATTGGAAGTAGCCCTGGAAGGTAAATTAGCAGTGCAATTTTGATAGTATATGTCAGAAATCTTCAAAAGTGCCTACATTTTAGATTTAAGAATGCATTCTAAATGGTTATATGGAGAAATATATGTACCAAGATATCTGGCACAATGTTATAACAACAGAAAATTGTAAATCATCTAAATGCCTAGTGCTAAGGAACTGGCTAACAAAAGTATGGTACAGACATTTGAAGAAATAATATAAAAATGTTAAAAATGATGTAGTAGAAGCCGGGCGTGGTGGTGCACGCCTGTAATCCCAGCACTCAGCAGGCTGAGGCAGGAGGATCGCTGAGAGTTCGAGATCAGCCTGGTCTGCATAGTGAGTTCCAGGTCAGTCTCAACTACAGTGAGACCCTGTCACAAAAACAAAAACAAAAACAAAAACAAAAACAAAACAAAACAAAAAGATGTAGTAGAGTCAGGGATTTAGCTCAGTGGTTTGTTTGGCTGCCTACCTCGCAAGTGCAAGGACCCAAATTCAATCCCAGGTACCAAAAAAACAAAACAAAACAAAAAACTGCTACCAAGTCAGGTGTGATGGCACCCTCCTGAAATCCAGCACTGAGAGGCTGAGGCAGGAGGCTAACAAGTTTGAGCACAGCCAGGACAACTTAGCAAGACCCTGTCTCAAAAAATGGGCTGGAGGCATAGCTCACTGTGAAGGCCCTGGGTTCAATCTCCAGTACCTTCCCCCCAACTAACAGCTATTGATATGGGAAAACACACAAATTATATTGCTGAGAGGGAAAAAAAGCAAGCTACAAAGATGCATTTAATGTGATCCCTTTATATAAAAATATATAAGGCTGGAGATTTAGCTCAGTGGCACTGTACCTCCTTACAAGCGCGAGGTCCTGAGTTTGATCTTGGTACCCCCCCAAAAAAGTGTGTGTGTGTGTGTGTGTGTGTGTGTGTGTGTGTGTGTGTGTTTGGAAGGCTAAATAATCAAAAGCAAATTGTGGTTTTCATCTCTGGGTGATGAGACTGAAGATAATTGAACAAATATGTATTTAGTACCCAACCTGTGCCAGGTAGTGAATCACTGAGGTTAAAGGTATGAACGAACAAACAGGATAACTTTAAATTCCCTCAAACTTTTCTTCACCTTTCCCAAGAATTCTGTATTAAGCATGTATTATTTTGTAATTAGAAAATTTATTTTATTTCAAGAAGCAAAATTTAAGAGAGAAACTTTATTTATTTTTATTTTATTTTATCTTTTATTTTTGGTACCAGGGATCAAACTTGTGCTAGCAAGGCAGGCAGTGGAACCACTGAGCTAAATCCTCAGCCCAAGAGAGAAACTTTAGACCTCATTCTAAACATTTTGGACTCGGAGATCTAGGCTTTAAGCCAGAACCAGGGAATAGGGTTCTGAACTCCCCTCCAGCTCTGACATTCTAAGACTTCTCAGAATGGACAAATGCTGGGCATAAGAAAAATTTAAAGGTCTTGGGTAGAGAAAAATGAGTTTGGACAGACTGTGTATCTTAGGTTAAGATACCAAGAAAACTGGTGACACCAGATGGGGGATATTATAATATCTCAAATAATGAGTAACAGTCACAGTAACAGCTCAAGTAAAGAAGAGGAAAGATATCCCCATGGTGATCAGTATCACTGTGAGCCCAGGAGATGAGAATAAAGCACAATGCCCGGGGCACCACTGGTGATGGGTGTGTACAATTATGGTGCCAGTGTATGAGCCTGTCTGAGTGGATGGAAGAAGAGTGGGGAATATAGCACAGGCATGGGGGTGACTGCCCAGCTCTAGAGGAAGAACAGGACAAAGCTGAGAAGATACACAAGCTGAGAAGATACACTGAACACATTCTGTGCATGAAGACATCTTGTGTACAGTCAGTAGACTGAATCATATCACCATAAGACATGTCCGTGTCCATCCCCAAACCCCCAGAGTGTGCCAGTGGGTGGAAGATGGATGGGGAAAAGACTCTTTGCAGATATAATTAAGGATTTTGCTATGAGACCTTGGATTATCTCAGTGGGCCTTAAATCCAATGACAAATGTCTAAGAGATATCCATGTATAAGAGATATCCATGGAGCTGGGCATGGTGGTGCACATCTGTAATACCAGCACTCAGGAGGCTGATACAAGTTCAAGGCCAGCCTGGGCTACCTTGTGAGTTCAAGGCCAACCTAAAGTACATAGAGATACCCTAACCTGTCTTAAAAAAAAAAAAATTGGCACCATTCCTGCCTTGCAAGCACAAGTTCCTGAGTTCTATCCCCAGTACCAAAAACAAAACAAACAAATAAAAAATAAAAAGACACCACATGGAGAGATACAAAGACAAGAGGAAAAGGCCATGTGAAGGAGGTAGACGTAGTTATACTGCCATAAGCAAAGGAACTGTTAGGGAAAATTTTAATAGCAAAAATTTAGGAAATGTCACAATATAAGATAACTTCTGCCCCACACTCCGCTTAGTTCAGAATTAACAGGTATGGGAGACACCTAGTCTCTCACAAAAGTTTGTAAGTGAAAAGAACCATTGTTAGCTTTGTTAAACAAGCTCCCTTCCCCCTGGGCTAGAGTAGGTAACTGAATGAATCTTAAAGGTAACTTCCCTCGCAAAGAACTGCATCCAGGTTGAAATTCAACTGCCTTGCTACCATGTTTTGGGTAGCTGTGAAAATGCAATGTAACCAACTGAGTAAGATCAAAGCTTTAAAACCCTATAAAAGAAGGAGTTGTAATCCAATGGAGGACTCGATCAGGGCACCGCTATTAGGTGTGATCGATCCCCATCGATGGAGTAAACTTTTTTATTTTACTTCCATTCTGCTGCCTCTCTGTGTGTCACTTGCTGTCTCCTTCCAAACAGAACCACCAGATTCTGGAAGAGGCAAGGAAAGACTCTTTCCTAAAACTTACAGATGGAGCCTGGCCATGTTCACATCTTGATTTCAGACTTATGGTTTCCAGAACTGTGAGAGAGTATATTTCTGTTGTTGTTTATTTGTTTTTGTTTTCTGCAGAGTCTTGTGTGTAGTTCAGATTGCCCTTAAATTTACTGTGTAGTCCAGGCAGGCTTTGAACTCATGGCAACCCTTCTGCCTTAGCCTCCTAAGTGCTGAGATTATAGGCACGTGCCAGCACACCTGGATCTATTCCTCTTGTTTTAGACACTTAGTTTGTGGTAATCTGTTATGGCAGTCCTAGGAAACTATTGATACAGATGGTGCAGTGGGTCCAAACTACAAGTCAGCCTCGAGGCCCCCAAAGGACTTTGATCTGTCTTTTTTCCCAATCCACAGCAGGAGAGAAAGGGACTTCTCTCCTTCTACCCCACCAATGTTCTCTGCAAAACAAGGGCTAGTCAGAAACATGTTTTAGTAACATGTGTCTCAGTGTTTGAAAACACAGATACTAATGACCAAAGATGTAGCCTTACACAACTTCAGAATGTTCCTACAGCAGATAGTAAGAGTTAGTCTTGGGTACACTCAGTCTTAACCTAAGGAGACTCCAGACACAAGAACTCCAGGAGCTCAAAAGTGTTTTGGGGTTTGGCAGACTCCCATCTGTGAAGGCATAATCTAGGATCAGAATACACATCTCCACAGATAAGAATTGGCCACACAAATAAAGAGCTAAGGAAGAAACAAAGCTATAGGGAAGACATGGAATATTAATGAGCCGTAACAAAATGCTACATCTACCTTATAGGCAGATTTATGCTCTGAAATACCAAGAGAAAGCCCCAGATTTGGTGAAAAAGAATCCACATAAAGATATGAAAATAAACATTGCAATGCTGGAGAGAAATACACAAAAGACCAAAATGTTCAGAATATTTGGCAAGAGGAAAAATGAACAAAAACTGAGACAGATGTTGAAGAAAGCTGTCCAGCCATACAGCTCCAGACACTAGCATGGTGGATCTGTCATCTCTGCTCCCATGACTTTTCCCACCTGAATTTGATTAATTGTTATAGGTTAGATCTAAAATACCTCATAAAGCCTCATCTGCTCATAGGTAAAGCTTATGACAGGTGGCTGGATTATGAGGATGGTATAGCTGACTTGCAAACACATTTTGGTACCAGGAGTAGGGTCATGGCTGTGACACTCCCTGAAGAGGTGGTTTAGAAATACTTGGAACTGGTTTATGAGAGGAATTTGGAAAGATTTGGAGATGCTGGCTGGCTGGAGAAGCAGCCCTAGAATGTAGAAGCTGAACTGGATGGGTCAAAGCTCAGACTAGAATGCTGATAAAAAGGCAGATGGTAAAGACCAAGCTCAGGAGGTTTCATTTGGGAAGAAAGACACTATTGGCAGTTGGCCTTGAGATCATGTGTTATAATCGGGTAGAAAATTTGTCAACATTTTCCTCAGCCACCTGGCTTGATTTCTGTTGTTGTTGTTGTTGTTTTGAGACAGGGTCTTACTATATAGTTAAAGCTGGC